GGGATTATTACATGGGTTGTTTGGTTTTTCTTATTTCTTCTCTTCCTCTTCCACCTTTTCCAATTATCCTGGATAATTAAGAGTTGGCTGTGCTGAAAAGTCGGATGATTAAGATTTTTCTAAACTGCCTGCAGGTAATGTTGAATGCTTTGGGTTTTTTTCTTTGTGTCTAGTTTAACTGAACAGTTTAATTGAACTGTGAAGTTATCCCAAAATGTTAAAAATACAATTCTGTTTCTAAAAGCTTTCAATTAAACTGATTTAGCTACAGAAAGTAAGTAGAATTAGAGATTTCTTTCCTCTGCTGGCAGTTGGACTTGGTTTTTCTGTAATTTTCTTATTAAGCAGCCAAGAGGATGCCTTTTTTTTTGTTTTAAGCTTTGGTAATTGAAAGCAGACAAAATAAGGATACAACAAAACCAGCAACTATGAGTGAAGGTTAAGTCCTCTGAACCACACCACTCACCTTAGGTTCTACCTGAAGTGTGACCATGAGGCAAGAACAATCCTTGTCCTTAGCCTTTCAAAAGGTATGCTGTGCGCACCCATCACTCATCCCACTGCCAAGATCTTTGCTGTGTGCATTCAAGAGATAGCAAACAATTTCTGAGTATTATTCTGTGAGAGGGAAACTACGTGCATAAAATAGAGATTTCTGATGTGCATGAGGATAACTAATTTTCTTTTGGCAAGTTTCAAGTACGGTATTTAAAATCAAGCCCGTAGCACTCCAAACATACTGAATGCTTCCCTAAAACTGTGAAGAATCCAGATTGAAGACCTGTTTTCCAGCAACAGTGACACAGGACGTAGCTGTGCCAGGCATCTTAAGCAACTGGAGAGCCTCAGACTGTTGCATCTACCCCTGACATCCCATGTCCTTAGTGCATCAGAACTACCTTAATCTGGCTGTCTTTCATGTCCTGAGCATATGACCTTCCAAAGAACACTTTTCCATGGGGACCTAGGAGTCCTGCTGTGATGAAATGGGGGAAAACCAGAAAATAGTTATAATCCTGGGAAAATGTATGCATGCTTATGAAGGGATCTTGGATCAAGGGATATGAGTTGGCAGCTTCTGAAGGTCTAGTAGATAAATGGCAGAGGTCCCCAAACAGCTTAGCTTAGAAAAAGCTCCTGCCATATGTGAGTGCATCATCTTTGGAAACGGCCGACTGTGGTTTAAGAGTGAGCAGGAAGTCTGGCCTGCGTGGTTCCAGTGGAAGCTGATGCCTGCTTCAGGGAGTTCATGTAGGAGTGGGCTACTGCTCCTTGTGCGAGCAGGGCTGGCCATGCAGCGAGGGGGATTAATGCTGAAGCATCACTGGGAAGGCTGCTTGATGACAAGACTTCAAGAAAAGAAAGACCCAGGGATGGCTGTAACCCAGGAGCAATGAGTACTTTTTCTCTTGTTCATAGCATTCCCTGAGAGGGTGTGTGGCTATTGGCTTTGTGGCCATGGAGGATGGTTTATTTTCTTATCCATATTTAGTAGGTGTTTTTCAAAGTGCACATTAAAAAGAAAGGAAAAAGAAAAACAACAACCCCAAACCTCTGTTGACTGATGTAGTGTTAACAGAGAAGAATCTCCTCTTCTCTCCTTACTGTCTTTATGGGAACTGCTGGCTATACTAAATATTCTCTTTGAAAACATCTCTGTTTAAACTTAATCCTCCAGCCTAGGCTGTGGCATGTGAAATGGGTCTGAAGTGTCCTTGCTCTGTATACTTGTGCTGCTGTTGGCTTCTGCCTCATTGTTTCTAGGATCCATTAAAGAAAGCAGCCCATTCCTTAATGCTGTGTGTAAACAGGGAATGGCTTTGATTCTCGTGAACCCATGAATTGTTAAGCTGTCTCCTTAAGAGTATGTCTCTGACAAATGTGTGTGCTCCACAATGCACTCCAGTTAACTTCTGGAGGTGGAGGCCTGTAGAGTTGTTACGAAAGCTGCTTCCCTCTGAGCTGTAGGTAATAAGGAGTGTGCTATAACAACAGTCAACTTTCAGGGAATTGAACGTCTGTCTAAATAGCTTCCCAACCACCAGCTCCCCTCTGGGAAGAAAGGATACCTTCTTATCCAGCCAGAATCTCTTTCATCTTCTAATTTTGTCAAGGAAAAGTCAAGGCTGAGAACAAGTTTTGTAACTTGGCTGAAGCCTGAGGGAGGATCCTCACAGGCGGTACCTGTGCCCATTGTCTCCTAACAATTCTGAGGGGTTTGTTGATGCTATCTTCCACTAAATAGTTCTGCTGCCTTTGTGTCTCCTTCAAATCCTACACTAAACTAAATCAGCTTAGTGGGATGTTACTGTAGGCATAGCAGCAGCAATTTACAGCATTCCTTGTGGGGCAGCCCCATGCCTCTGACAGAGAGGATCCCTGATAACCTGGGACTCAAGTGACTTGCTAGCTGAAAAGAGATAGGGAAACTGTGCCTGACTTCAGAAAAAGGAGAGAAACAGCACTGTGCTTTGGAGCAATCTATTAGTGAATCGAGAATAAGCAATAATTGATTCACCCAGAAGATATTCTTGTTTTAGGTATCTCTAACTTGGTTGTTGTTCAGAGACCAGAATTGGACTGCTGGCTTCCATGTGCAATCTTTGGGAGAGGAAAACATCTCGGGGGCAAGGTAGCACACCTCAGGCAACTCAGCAAATTCTGTGATAATTGCATGCCCTCTTCCCTACTTCTCTTTCTGGCTGCTGCTATGTCACCTGGCAAGCACTGTTCCAAGAGCAGGGAAGGCCACCTTTAAAAGGTACCTTGGCAAGACTTGCAGAGTTTGTTATACTAATAAGGCTTCATTAAGTTGGAATGGGGAGGACAGACCTGTCTTGATTTAATCAGAAGGGCCATTTGCTGAAGATGGTGCATTGCTTTGTCAGAGCTGTAATTCAATGTAAACCAGTGAGTCTTAGAAGAAAGCAGCCAGCCGTTGGCCTGGAGTATAGGCCAGATGCTGGCCTCTTCCAACTGAGTATGAACTTAAAATCCATGTGGGAGATCTGACTTGAGAGGAGGAGCAGATGTACAGATTAGCTGGCTTGGCTTTCTTCACAGAGGAGTATTTTTTCATTCCATTGTCTAATTGTTGCTGAAGGAATTCCAGCAGGTGAGTGGCACCATCCTTACTCTTTTCTGCATGGTAGGAGTTTGGTGAACAAAGCATTGGCTCCTTGTCTGCAGAAGACATGAGAAATCTATAGGTTGTGCTACAGGCATAGAGTGGGATGGCATCACTTCTCTCCCTCCCCTTCCAGATGAAGCAAGAAACAAAAGGGGCAGACACAGACTTTATTGTAGCATCAGCTCCAGACTTGCCACATGGCAGTTTAAATGTCATTTTGAAATGACATTTCAAGGCGGGGGTGTATGCAGACAAAGAATTCTTCTTTGGTAGAGACTAATTGACTTAAGATCCAAATTTTAAAGATAGCCCCTTTGCAAAGTAAATATGAGCAAAGTAGTGATGTGGAACTAAGGAAACCCTCTTATCACTAGGATGACTTCCAGGTTTAATGACAAATCTACACCTTCCCTCCCATAATGCAGCTTCTTTTTTGCCTGAGTAATTGGAAACATGAGTTGTGGCTGTTTGAGTTGTGTTTCTCTGGTCAGTGCTGGTGTGTTGACTTCATCTCAGAAGTACTTAAGGATCTGAAAGTCATACTGCCTTCCCTAGTTGTAGGAGTCCTAACCCAGGTCTCCTATCTGTTCTCACAGAGTATGAAAGAGTACAATAACTGCCTCTGCACCTCTCAAGTTTGTTTGGAGTTATCCAGCAGTTCTGAATTTCTATGGGAAACTTGGCCAAAAAAAAATAATCCCCCTACAGTATGAATACCCATTCACCTGAAAAAGCTGTGGCTGAATGGGGTTTCCCTCAAAATTAGAAGTATTCCTGTGGTCAAGTGTAAAGAAATGTTAATTTCTGCACATTTTTTCCCGCCCCGAGAGCTTTAGATGTTCGTGTAAGGAATAGCACGATAGAAGTATTAAGATGTGTCTCCATGTGTTTTTTTTTTTGTTTGGGTCTTTTTTTCACTACATCTCTCACCCAGTTGTCTTGTATCTCAGTTTTCTCCTTCCTCCTTTGTAAAACCAGTACACACAGATTTTTTTTTTAGTCCCAGCTTTCTTTCACGAGTATTGGATTTATGCATGACATTGTTATTCATCCAGGTCCAAAGTTACTGTTGGAGGTCTTGCAGGCTAAAACCATACTAGGTTGGTAGGACATGTATTCTGCTGGGTCGTTTTCCTTCATTAAAAATAGGGGTTCAACTTTGTGCTTTCTTGATTTCCCAACTGCTCTTTGTGTGTTTGTGTGCGAGTCTGTTTTTGCTGTGGCAGTGCCTGATAGGCTATGGCTGAATCCCTCAGTCCTCAGGTATGAGCAGTGTCACATCCTGCAATTTTAATTGCTATGCTCAGTACTGTCAGAACATTATACCTGAGGTTTGCAAGCTGTTTTACATTCCTCCTCATAAGCGTGTGTTTGCCTGCCTGCCGGCTGGCTGTCAGGTTTGCTGTGCCTCTCCAGGTGGCTGAAGAAGCATTTGATTTATTTATCCTAGCTGTCTAGTACTGTCTACTGTGTTTTGGAGACCTTCTGAAAGGTGGTGGGGGTGTAGGAAGGCTGGCTCTCTTGAAGTTATTTTGGAACAGATTCTCCAGATGCTATATCCTCTGGGCTTGTCTTGAAAGGAAAACCTAAAATTAATTGTAAGCTAGGCAGTCTTCACACCTGAAATATTAGAGGGTGAGTGAACAGTTCTGGTCTCTCTATAATACAGCTCCTTTTAGTATTTCCTATGCAGAAGATTGCGCTTTCTGCTACTGTTACCTTGTGAACTGTGAATACTGGGCAAGATTCCTAAATGCTAGAACATGCAAAAGGTTGCTCTTGTTTGTTTATGAATTTCCCCTTTCTGCCCCTCCCCAGACGTTGTAGGTATTTGGCTCAACACTTACTGTTTGTTTCTTTGTTTTTGTAGACCGAGGTGCTCCTGATCAACCAGATCTTTCAGGAATTTTTTAAAAAGAAACTTTGGTGGGTAAAAGATGTGCCATGGAATGGTAGCACCAAAGAGCAACACAGGATCATCTCTTGCCTTGACTAGCCATGGGTTATTTCTTCTGCTAGTTATCTTTGGTAGCTTTATCTTGGAAACACAGGCCACAGGTAAGTGAAACCTTTGCATATGCTGCAGGGAGGGGAAGATGTCTAAGTATGGAGGTGGCGTTATATTTTTATGGGGGAGCTGGTGATGGTTGATGCATTTGAACACATCTTTCAGTACTCAAAGGAAAAATTCCATTGCTACTTGTAAAGCAGAGGGCAATGTCTGAACTGGATGAGCCTTACACGTTAGTAAGTAAATGCTTGTCCTTTACCCTGTCATTTTGATTCCCCCAGCCTTTTCGCCCTCCATTCTCATGCCTTCACTGCAGCTGGGAGCACTTGGACCATCTCAAGAGCGTGGACCATGTTTTAGTTGAGGAAGATTCTCATGTAGACACTCTTACCTGTATGCCCTGTAGCAACTGCTCATGTGAAGTAGTTTTGGAAGCACAGACTGTCTTCAGCTCTTTGCACAGCTGATGAATCTGTTCAGTGTTTCCTTGTGTGCTATCTTCCGACACCTCAGCACCTGCTAACTGCACCCCTCTATTGGATCCTCTTTGCAGCTCGAGTTCTTCCATCTCCCCTTTCTGTCGTCTTGATGTTTATCTGATGGACAAGTGTTGTGAATAATGTAAAGAGCAGTGTAATGGGATGATATGTAAAATGTCAGCAGAGATGAGGGGATCTGCCTTTTAGAAATGAGTGGAAGAAGAAAATATACTGGATACTCACAAAGTAGTACATGATGTGAAGTATGTGCTTGTTTACCCAGTATGCCCTGAAATATGTCTGTTCTCTTAGACTAGCCATGATGTAGTCTGTAGAGAGATGCTTGATCATAAGTGGCGTGGGATGGAAGCAGTAACTTTGTGTGCTCTTGCATGGAACTTTGAAGGCGGTTAGTCCCAAAAAGGCATGTAGATTTGAATTCAGCAACTGTTACAATGTACAACATTCTCAACATAACTCTAAAAAGCCCTATTTATTTGACATATCATGGCACCTGAAAATGTCCTGTGACCAACAGTCCCCTCAGCATCAGCGAAGCTTGAATTGGCCTCTGTGTGGTAGAGCAGAATAAATGTTGCCAGATGCACTACAAGCCAAGGTGATCCTGTATGGAAAAGTCTGCTGGCGCTGCAAACTTCTGGAGGAGGAGTTGATCTACTTTTAGTATTTATGGCTCTTTGTTTGGAAGGGAGAGGCTGCTGAAATCAGATATTCCAGACTTGTAGGTCTTCCTGGCCTGATTTTGGCTTTGTAGGCAATGAGGGGTGGGGGGACACATGTGAGAGAGTGACAAATTGGCAAGAACAGATAGCGAGGGGGGAAGGGGACAAGGTCTTTTTGGATCTGGTCTATCCTTGGTTTTTTTCCAGTCTTGCTGTTATTGGTGATAATGTCACTGCCTCATTTCAGATGTAGGCCTGTCAGATATGCCTCCCAGCCTGGGGCTGGAGTGCAACATCCCCATCTGAAACTCCCATTACATACTACAGCACCTTCAATTGAGTCTGTAATCAGTATGCAAATGTCCTGTGCTGTACGGGGTTGCTGGATGGGGAAAAGCAGCCACAATACTGGCAAGCCTTTTTAGTATAATTTTTGAGGCATCCAGTCACATTAACAAAAGCACTAGTTAAGCATGTCAGACCCGAGAGTGGTTCTGCATTGTTTCCCTTTCTGTGTTCCTTTTGCTTCAGGACCTGAAACCAGCTGTGATAAACTGATCAAGGCAGATGATCAGCTAAATAGGATTATAGTGGCTGGGCATGAACCATTTCCTGCAGGGGAAGTGAGAAAGTGAGTGCATGCAGAGGGGAGCCCAAGAGCATAGCAGAAGGCAAGACGTGCAGGGCTAAAAATCCTGGGGGAGGGGAAGGGCTCGCTGAGGAGCGCTTCCATGTACAGGATTTCTGAGACTGGGAGGTAGCAACCCAGCTGCCAATTGCTGGGAGGGATGGGGGTGCTCAGCAATGCGTCATGGGCCTGGAGAGCTGCACCTGCAGCAGCACGCCAGCCATGAGTAACGTTAATGAGCAAGTCAGGCGAGGCGCGCAGAGCCAGATGGAGAAACAAAGAGTACTGGCGAGGCACTTGGAAAATCATCTTTCCCTCATCTTTGTCCCCCAACCACCCCGCAATCCTCACTTTACATAGCAAAATCATTCAGAGCAGGCAGAGCAAAGCGATGTTAACATGAAGCAAGAGATTGTATTAAATCTCTTGGTGGTAATGCTTATATTGAATGTGGGGCCAATGTGACATGTTCACAATTGCTACAAAAGCTGAAGAATGCTCTCATATAAAGACAGACAAGCATGGAGACAATGGCTGGCTCAGCTCTTGAGTGAGAAAGCAGAGCTTGTGATTCATATGTTTAAAACCATATGATGTATATTGTATTGCAGTCATTTTGCTGTTTAGAAATTCTATTGCTTGAGTTCCAGGAGGCTTAGAGATATATTCATGTTCTGGGCAGGAGTGTATTCTCTTTGCCACGTGGTTAATGCAGAGGGCAGACTCATTTCCAGTCAGCAAGCATCTGGTCTGTCCTCTGGTAATAAATTGATTTTATTTATGCATGGATTTTTAAGAAAAATCTTCAACACTTTGTCTTGAGCAATCTATCCAAATATCCTGGAGTGCCATGAGATGAGTATGATAAGTTGCTTAGTCACTAAGCACACTGCAGAATTTGGGGAAACTGCTCCCTTTTCACAGGAAGATATCCATGAATATAAAAATAACCGCTGCACATACTTTGACACAAAACAAATGCAGCATTTGGTGATGGGCAAGCAATGAAGTTATGTCAGACGACAAGGGTTTATGGAAACTTCAGTGCTGTTCAGAAATGTTTTTTGAGCTTTATCACTGCTGTGCCTTTTTTCCCCCATCTGGAAAGTTCTCCGAGATTAGTTGGGGGAATTAATGAAGGAATGAGCAGGTGAGGTCGTGGAAATCAAGGACTCAAAATGCTGAGTCTTAGTTCTCTGTTTCTTCTGTTTTCTTTGAGGGTTCATCTGGAATGTAGCTAAGAGCCAGGGTGCTTAGTAGATAGAGATAGGGAACTTTTTAAGTTTTGAAGAGGAGCAATAACAACCATTTTGTCTGCTTTTCTGCAGATAATGCTTCTCCATTCTTTCTTTGTTGCTGGTTTTTGTGGGGTTTTTTGGTTGTTTTTTTTGTTTGGTTGTTTTTTTTCCTCCCTTCCATCTCTGGCCCTTAAGGTTATAACCAAGCTCTCAAAGGCTTTGTGTTTATATCTCATTCACAACGGTCCTCCTGTGTGGCCAGGCTATTTTTGGAAGGATGGCAGTGGATCAGAATAAGTTGTTCATTAAATTTTAACATGCAGTCACTAAAATACTCTGAAAGCTTCCTATCATTTGTGTTCCAAGTGGTGTAATCTCTCTTGGATTCATAACCAGCTCGGCTGGAAACCTATCAAAGCATAGGTTGGGCTTTTCATTATTCATAATAGCATCACCTGGTCCTGGTAAATGCAAGTAAATGTGTTGGTAAAAGTATTAAACATCCTGAATTAAGCAAATATCAATATCCATAAAGGAGGGAGTTTAAATATTTAAACCTTTAAAAATTAATAATAATGCAGGCTCGGTGAATCTAAGTCCATTAAGATTTAGACACAGCCTGATTTTTGTTGACTGATCACGTGTGAAATACTATAAAGCTAGCTCTTTAAATTTTAGGATTGCCATTAAAGTGATAAATTGAGCTTGAATAAACTGAAACGACTTCATTCCTCTGTGTTGTCTCTGACGCAAATGCAGCCAATCTGATGGTTGCTGTTCTAAGGTCTTTTCAGTGCCAAGGTTATTCTGCACAGAAGCTCTTGGATACTGCTGGTATTTGTTTGCATTGCATAGAACAGCTTGTTAGAGAGCACTCCAGTCATTGAGCAGATTCGGACTTGTTCCTATTCTTTGGGAATCTGTGCAAAGCAGAGGTTTCCTTTGTCTCTGATTATGCAGCTGAAAGGAAGCCATTTATACAGCTAGGGATGAATTCAATGGTCATGAAAACAAGGACTCTATAACATTGGATGGCCAGACAGAAATGTGGGGAGGTGTCGTGCGTGAACAGAGGATCTTGATTCTAAACTGCATTCTTCATGTAAGTGTGGGTTTGGAGAAATTGCAGGGTCAGCCCAAAGAAGTGTGTAGCTCTTCATGGAGAGAAGGGGGAAGCAGTTTCTGGTGCAATTACTCTTTCCAGTCCCTTTGGAGAGCTTAGTAAGAGCAGAGTGGTACAGAAGAGCATGGTGAGTACCTGCAGAATAATAGCCAGGCCCCAGAGGTAGCTAGGAAGCAGATGCAGATGGGCCCAGAATTAGACTATTCAAATAATAATATTCACACTGCTACTACACTGATCCACTCAGTGCTTTTTAAGCAGCTGGCTTGAAGGGAGTAATAGGAGTCTCAAGAAGCCACACAACTTGTTTTAAGTTTAACCGGTTCTAATGGTTGAAGGGTGAATTAAAGCAAGCATAATGGTAATCCTGAGTTTTCCTTTTGTCTGTCCTAGGTTGGCTCAGCAAATCCAAAGGACCTACATGTGAGTAGACTTGTATTCACTGCTGTACTATGAGAAATGAGTGTGATGTTTTACTGGTTAATATAAGTGGCTATGAGCTAGGATTCCCATTATACTTTTGTTGTGTTGGATAGGCTGAGATCCATCTCTATGCCCCATTTCCATTTTTGTTCCTTGTATTTGGAAAAGATGACTGCCCTCTGTTTGAGAGAGGAAGATCAACTTCATGTGTTTCACTGTGCTTGAAGGGATTCCTGTACCTTCTATAGCATTTAACTTCAAATGACTCAAGAAAAAACAAGTAGAATAAGTATTTCATTAAAACCCAGAGAGAGATGCTGCTTGTGAGAGTTTTGAGAGGCTGGGGAGGGCAAACTGAGGCAAAACTCCCTTTGTTTCCTTTATTCAAGAAAGGTGAACATCTCATCACATAGCATAACTCTGGATATATTCCGTTGGATACTCCTGCTTTTCATTTCCTGTGCTTGGAAAAAGTCTAAAAATCTTTCCTGTGTGCATGTTATGGATGTACATAACTTTGGGAGGAATTGGGAAGCATATTTGGCTTCTGAATCTGTTTTAAATGTATAAAATTTTGTGTAAATCTTTGTTGAACTCTGAAATTTGATCTGTTTAGTCTGAACTTTCCCCTCTCTTCCAAAAAAATAAAAAGGAATACAGAAACAGAGTCTGAGGGGAATGGATTCATAATGAAGTATTTAAGGGTATGGGAAGGAAGTTTTACCACCTACCAAATTTTGGTCTTCAGGGAGTGAGAGATGGGAGAAGAGCTGATGGAATCATCTGAATCCTGGATTTTTATCCAATGTCTGAATTTTACTCCTGGCAAGCCTGGTATCACATACACCTAGTATTGACGGGCTTTCAATTCTTAGCTGTGGTTGCTAGCAGGAAAATAAGCTGCTTTAGGAAATAACTCAAGAGTTGTCTGGTCTGACTCACCTTAGCTTCTTGGGCTAGAATGAGAAATATGGAAACTGGTAGGAGCTTCACTGTAGAGGGAAGCAGGAGGGGTGCTGAATGGCATGATTTGTTCTTCAAGAGAAAGTATTTGTGAACTTAAGTCCAGGTTCTGATTCATCACCATCCTGGTGTCCCTTGATGACTGCTGCCTGCTAGGTTGGAGACACAGGCTTGTCTGTCGTCTTATGCAGCTTCCTTCTATCACTGAGTCCTTCCTCTTTATCTACTTGAGCAATCACTTGGGAGGAATTTGTGTTTATTCCTAGCCTCATGGGGAAAGTCCTGACAGCGGGACAGAAGAAAGTTTCCTTGCTATCACTTTGTGCCATTTGACAATTCCTTTCCTGCTTCTGTCCCTTTTGAGTCCTAAACTGGTTACCATTGCAACTGAGGCTATATGTTTTTAGGATATGTTGAATGTTTTTCATCTGTGCAACCCATATCTGCCATTGCTTCTCCAGTTCTTATGTTTAACTGTAGCAGCACAAGCAGTTACCACCTCCTGTTCATGCTGTCAGGTATTAATGACTCTGCAGCAGGGATGGCAGAACAAGTAAATTTGGTCTGGAACTGCGGCAAACTTCAGCCTGGGCTGTGAGTGCAAATGCTGCTGGAATAGCTGGTGTGTGGTATGTAAAGCTGTGGAGTAGATGCGTCCTCAGCACGCTTGCGTGGGTGGTAAGGGGGAAACAAGCGGTAGGGCAAGGTGGGTAGCTGTAGACTGTAGAGCCTTCAGCTTTTGTGCCTGAGTCTGTCAGGGCCCTATGTTAAACCCAGCAATCTGTGTCTAGATGAGGATTGCTAAAACACTGCTGGTAACAAGCCACTGATAGTCAAGAGTGAAGGTAGGGTGCTGAAGACACTTGAACAGCAAGCTCAAAAATGCTGGTACCTTCATGAGAGTAATTGGAACCCAGTGATCGGATTATGGCATTGTCTCAAGAGGTTGTACCTGCTTATCTGTGTGTACTGATCTGCATCTAAAAGACTTTTCCTTTTAATGAACCTCTGGGGAGTGTTCATCTTTCTCTGCAAGCAGGAATTCCCCTGAGGCTCCACTTCTGCAAAGTGTTGTACTGGAGTTGGAGGACTGGCGAATTGTTTGCTTCCAGATGTTGAGGGGATTTGAAGTAATACCTTAGGTATGAGGCTGCTTAGATGAGTTACAGGATGGTGGATTGAGCTACCAGGGGGCTTGTTGCTAAACTGTTGAAGAATAGAATGAGCTTTTTGGCCCAGCCTAGTGCAGTGATCCTTTTATTATGGAAGGGGGAGGGGAACTTTTGGAGTTCCTGTGCTGAGAAGACTGCCTAATCTCAAGAGGTTGTGGGGATGTTCCCTCCCTGCTTGTGTACCTTGGCCTGGCTGGTGCTGAATGGAGATGCCTCCTGCTTTCCTTCTCTGTAGGGCCTATGCCATGAATGTAAGGATAAGTGCATTTATCCACTTGGTGTGGTAAGAAGCATTTCAGGGGAAGCAGAAGCCAAAGAATTGAACAGTAGGGTAACAAAAGAGCATCTTTAAATCCTGTGGGCTCAGCATTTTAGGTCTAGCCTGTCATCTTAATTCAATGGGGAAGATCTTTCTTGTTTGAGAGGAGAAAGAAACTTTGCTGCTGCTTTTGAGATATATCTTTTACTTTGTTAGTAAAGGGAGAAGCATGTCTGATTTGAAGAATATTGCCTTGCTGTAGAGTGAGATAAGCACCTCTGGTGGACATTGTCTTGAGTTTTCAACCCACTCTCAGGGAAGAAACATGGTAGGCTTGACATGTGCAGAGTCATAACCAGAAAGCCCGAGGCTGCTGATGCTTTTCTGGCTTGAAGGAACATTTTCTATGTCCTGAGAAAAGACCAACATGGTGTATAACGAGTTTTGTGTCAGACATACCCTTAGGCACCCATAAAACTATCCATCAGAAAGAAAACAAAACTGTTTGTGATCTTACCAATGTTTTTGTTTAGGTGACTTTGCATTTTCTTCTGCTTCTTTTTCAGCAGAGATGTCAGCTGCTGAGACAACAGGCAAAGTTTCTCTGGTTTAGGTAGAACTAGAATATTTTGAAGGAAATTGAGCTATATGGAGACTCTTCAGGCATAGAAAAGGCCTAGAAGTGAATGGAGATTTGTAGGAAGGTGGTAGAATAGATTGAAAGTGAATGAGGATCAGAGGAGAATAAGATTCTATGAAGGAGAGGAGGGGGACAGGGGAGTGCAGCAAAACAGGAAGGTGAAGGTTTCCACAGGTGGAGTTGTGAAAAAGATCCTGGTGGTTTAAAAAGCCAATTAGTGGCTTGGTGGTTAAGTAGCATAAGTCCTGAGAGAAGGTAGTGTTTTAGTTATGCAAGCAGATTAGAATGGTTGAGAATAGTATGGCCTTGGGAGGAAGGACTCTAGCAGAAATATATATGTGTGTTTATTTTTTTTAATGGTTAGGTAAGAATGTTTTAATGCAGGAGGATAAAGGATATGCCTTTACAACATCAGGCTTTTGAGGCTTTTCTATATGCAACAGGACTGACTAATGAGACACTGACAGAGAGTTTAAGAACTTGAGGGGTACAGAGTGTGTGTGCCCTCCAGGGACTGAAGCTTCAAGGCAGGAATGTCCTCAAGGCAGGAGCAGAGCAGGGTGAAGATGCCAGTTACTGGAGTACTGTGTCTGCCTACAAGTGCTCTAACACCATGTCTGGGGAGCTGGTGGGGAGAGAAACTGCAAAGGACCATATAGCAACTGTGTGTGAAACAAGACATAGGGAGGAATTTCTGAGAAAGTCATGGATATTTCTCTGAACATGGCAGAAACTTCCACTTGAAAGTTCTGCTTTTCTTAGTTTGTGTTCAGTTTTATAGTTAAAAGCTGTTTTGCTCTTCTCCCCCATCCTGCATTTCTTTGGCTGCTACACCCACTCTAGAGGAACCCTTCCTGTGAACAAGATAAACCTATTAAAGCTGCTGTATCCTGGATCCTTGTCAACATCACGGTGTCACTCCCTGCTGATGGTGATGCTTTCCAGGTGGATGAAGTTATATTAGAGTGGGTTAGGGACTCCTGGTGCTACCTCTGTTCTGGACCACCAGTGTCCTGGAGATTTATCTCCAGGAGACTTACCTGATGCTGCAGAGACCTTTAGGAATATGCTTCTGGTGTGTCATACAAAACCCACAGCTGTTGATTTAATTCGTGGCTGGGAGGGGAGAAGTGTAGATTTCTAACGTGGCTTCCTCTGGCCCATTCCACTCCTGCCTTCAGAGCACCTGACTTTGAAACTCAGAGTCCTGGAGATGCGCCTGCTGCGTAACCTGTCTCCAGTAGTTCAAGTTCTAGGCCTGCTGACTTGCTTCTTGAAAAGGACCAGTACTGTCAGATTTGTGCTGAACCATGTGTTATGCTACAGCACATCTTTACTTCTCTTTAGCCCCGGCAAAGGGCCGTAACTGTAATGTGCTGTATTATCCTAAAGCTAGTACTACTTCCATTCTGTCACTGGTTTTGCTTTCCCTAGCAAAAGTAACCTTTGAATGCTCCTGGAGAACAACCTTCAGGCTTCATTGTAAATGCTTTCTCGGGTGTAATTGACTTAGGTTATAAGATACTAAGAAAAGATAAAGGCTTTATCATTTGAGTGTTTAGGTTCAACTGTCACTTTTCTCTCAACTGAGGAAATTATTCATTTTTTATATGTAAGCTGAAAAATTGGAACATAGTCACAAGCAGTGATGAGTTTGTCTTTGAGTGCAAGTCTTAATGAAATCCATGAAGGTGGCAAGTTTGTTTTTCCAATTGTATTCTTGTAGTCCTCCACTTCTTTGTCTTTCCCAACAAGCTAGTCTTGTTGCAAATGTTATTGCCAGTAGCCCAAAGCAGAAATGAGTCTTGCTGTGATGTAGAAATGTGATGCCCTTGAGCTAGCATAATTTTAACCTTCAGGCCTTCGCACTTTGAATCTGTTTGCATTTGCTTCTCAAACACCGAAATGTTAACTTTAAGTTGGCAATTTGTGCTTTGATGGTGGCTGTTTCCTCCATGGCATTTAG